TGTGCTGTTAGGATATTTACGGTCACCATGTGCGTTAGTTTGATGATGTCCCCGGAATGAGTTCATGAAGGATTATTATGCTAAACCCTGCAGGTGGATTAAATTCCGGCATAGTAATAATGTGATGAACGAGCGCTAGCTTCGGTGAAATAATAATAAATTAATTAATTCTTGATTGTCAGTAATCGAATTAATTAAAATAAGTGGCTTGGTCCACAAGTATTTTAATTAATTAAGGAGCCCTAATCCTAATCTCCTAAGGATCTCTACTGTAGCTCTATATATACATCATTAAGCTCGTGGGAAGAGAAGAGAATTCCACATCTTGGAAATCACGTCCCACGCCTCTCTTCTCTCTCTCTCTCAGTTCCCATTCGAGCTTTATCTTATTCTTGTTGTTCCACTGGTACAAGATTAAGAGGTGTTTGAGATACACAGTAGAAGACCTTTGGGTAAAGTAAGACGAAATATATTTGGTCGTATAGAACTAACTGGAGGTTCGATCAAGACGTGCAACATACCCAGACGACTGTCTCGACGAGGGCTTTCGAACGCCGCCGAGATCGCCGCCATCCGACGTCGGACGCGCCCTCACTCGCCGCCGGAAGCTCCCAGGACTGCAACTTGTCTTCTTCCGTTTTGCACCCGTTTGATCTGATTTTTGATTCGATCTTGTTCGTGCAACCCTAGGACGCGATTTGCAATCTACGTTTCATTGGTGTGTTGTGTACGGCCATCCATAAGATCAACCAGATCGCCATAAATTTTAAGCCGTAAGTTCTCTACGCAAACCTTTAGATCTGCTACGCATAGGTGTACGTTTTGCTATTGAATTCGTGATTTGTGCATAACGATATCTTCATTGATCCCAACAAGTGGTATCAGAGCTTGGTTTAATTCATTGTGTACGAGTTCAAATTTTTACGGCTTTATAAGTCAAAATGTTTTCAAACGCAGCCATATATTGGACTATATTCGCATAACTCGGTTTTGCAGGAATTAGTTTAATCCACTATTATGGCCGATTATGTGTTTGATGGATGTTGATGAATGTGATGTATGGTTTTAAATTTGTTTTTAAAGCCTCAGACATGTCGAGGAATTTGATGGATAAATGTTTGTAATAATTATTCGCTCGGGGGTTGACCGGATAGATTTAATTATTTTGTTTAGAAAACATGTACATCCATTCGTTGGATCTAGGATTGGATTATGTAATTTTGTAAATTATATTTTTCGTGTTGTGATCATGGATTTATTGTCGGGAGAT